CCCCCCCCCCCCCCCCCCCCCCCCCCCCCCCCCCCGTTTGTGGAGGTGCAGGTCTCACGTGCGCAGGCGATAATGATTGGCAGGGTCTGGATCGGTTACGCGTCATTCCTCTCGGAGTCGGAAGCATCCTTCAACTTAATTCCTACGATGCACACGACCATCTCCGGGCTTGGTGCTTCACTTCTACGCTTCTTACTTCCCCCTACTACTTTTAATGTCTAGTTAACTTCTGCACACGTCTCTTGGCCTGTCGCCTCCGCATGCTTGGCAAACCTCCTCCGCCGCAGCGTTAGGCGCACTATCTGCAATGTCGACCGTCTTCGCCTCCCTGGTACGCCCGCCCAAGCTGCGACGCGCTTCCGCAGCTACGCAGCCCGCGGCCCAGCCTCCGCCCTCGATCGACAGTCATGGTCTCGACGAGCCCGACCTGCGCGACCTCAATGCCGCCCTGCAAGCGCTTACGGATATCTTCCCCGACCTGCAACCCGAGGTTTTCCGAGAGATGCTGTCTACTTTTAGCGAAGAGAGCAGGCTGCAAGTCGTCACCGAGACGCTCTTGAAGCATGGCGACAAGTACGTGCGGGGCCGGTACAGGAAGCCTGCTGAGCAGGAAGAGCAGCGGGAGACGGCGCAGAAGTACAAATACCGCAAAGAAGACGCACCGAGGGATACTCGAGGCATACCCCTTGCGCTGGAAGAGAAGTTCCGGTCACGACGGTATAAGGAGGCTGCCAAAGAAGCGCTGTATCAGGAATTCAAAGGCCTGAGCCACTCGACCATCAAGGCTGTGCTGGCTGAATACAACTACAGCTATACGCATGCACGACCGACGCTATTGGATCTGTCAACTAGAAGCTGGAGGTCCAGCATCACCAACTTCCTGATGCGCCGGAAGGCGCCGACGGCCAGTGATCACCCCCTGGTCATATGGACTCCCGCCGACGAACGCCTGAACCGTCCGTCTATGCCACTTCTCGTAAAGACTCGAAGCGACGAGCTGAACCAGGAGCTGTACAACGCACTCATTGTACCGGAACATGAGAAACACCGGAACGCGCAATTGCGACAGGACTATGACTTGGCCATGCAATGGAACGAAGAGGAGGCCGAGCGTGAAGGCGAAATGTACGACTGCGAATGCTGCTTCATACCCAACACGCTTCAGCAGATGTCGACCTGCGATATCGATGGCCACTACATCTGCTTCCGTTGCATACGGCATGCTATCAACGCTGCCCTCTACGACCAGGGCTGGGCGCGTAACATCAACACGGACCTGTGTACCCTGAAATGCATAGCGCCTATGACCGGTGGCTCCGAAGAGTGTCGTGGCTGCATACCCTTCTCGTTTGTGAAGCGCGCTCTTCTGGAAGAGCAAGATGGAAAGGACAACCTGAACAAACTCAACGAGCGCTTCGCTAGCGATGCACTGACCAGATCTCAGCTACCACTCGTACAGTGTCCCTTCTGCTCGTATGCGGAGTTGGATGACCTCGCGCTTCCAGATACCAACCTCTTCGCCAGCCTACGTTTCAAATCCCGCCCACTCATACTGGCTTCGCTGGCATCGGTGCCTTTGTTCGAGTTACTGTGCTTCCAAGCCACGCGAGCCTTACTTTTCGCATTTATTTTTATCTACACCTTCATCACCATCACATTTCGCCTGCCCGTCATCGCACCCTTTCGATCCGCCCTCAGGCGTGTCCACCTAAAGCGTCGCGGCCTTCGGTTCCAGTGTCTCTCCCCAAGCTGCGGTCGCGCATCCTGCCTCTCGTGCTCCCTTCCCTGGCATGACCCCCACACATGTTTCTCTTCCCAACTCACGTCCCTTCGTCTCACACTCGAACGTGCTACCACAGACGCAGTCAAGCGTACCTGTCCTCAATGCAACCTAGGCTTTGTAAAATCCGAGGGCTGCAATAAGCTCGTTTGTCTTTGTGGGTACAGCATGTGCTACATCTGCCGACAGGGTCTTGCGAATGAGGGCTATCAACACTTCTGTGGACACTTCCGCGAACGGCCCGGACAGCCATGCGGCGAGTGCAACAAATGTGATCTATACCGCGTAGAGGACGAAGAGAGGGTGGTCAAGAGGGCCAAAGATAGGGCCGAAGCAGAGTGGTGGGAGGCGCAGGGCGATGGTGCGAAAGAAGGACTGCAGAAAGAGGTTGGGAAGAACGAGGGCTCTGCGGCGAAAGGGGTTGCGGGGCTGAAGAGGGGAAATTGGGAAGCCTGGATCGAAGGCGTACTGGATAGTGTGCTTGTTTAATTATTTGCTGTTGGCGTTCGGATGTGGCCACAGACCGTCAGAAAGATTGATACCCAGAATTGATATTGTACAGCGTCCCTCGTGGACGCCATCTTACTTGCAACTCTTTTGATCAGTCCCCGTGATGGCTGTTCTATCGGTAGTGAGATATCCTTCAAGTGACATTACAATTTTCGATATTTGACGTACACATTCTTTGTGCAAGACATGATACATTTATCCCCAGCTCTTCCGGCGGAACGCCTGGCATATACGCGAGAATGGATACTGCATCGATCTTTCTCCCGGGGTCCAGGGTCTACAGAAATGTAGAGCGTTCGTGACAGAGGAAGTGGTGAAGATAAGTGCATTCTAGCGTACACTTCCGTTCTGCAGGGCTTATTTCCGAGATATCGCTCTTACCTTTTGCAGTTGCTAAACATACAAAGTCCATAGGCGCTCACGACGTTGGCTACCGTTGTACCCCTCATCAGGGACCAACACACCACCTTCCTAACGTCACCTAGCGCCCCGCAAGCGAACGGGGAGCGTTATCAGCCGCGATACTATCTCCACTGACATCATCACGTCTACACATTAGCAATCTGCTATCACACGCTGCACTCTTGGCTATTCCTCGGAAGAAAGATCTCGCTGTGTCGCCTACGATGCAGGCTAGAGATCTGGGACCTATCGCGCATTCATCGGCTTGTCGCTACAGGGTTCATGATAAGGGATGCTGGTCGGAAGAAACGATGTTTGGTTGGCATTGGGAATGCAGAAGCGATCTTCGATAGATGCTCCTTGATAGGTAATGTTGTATGCCGGGTATGAGGTCGGCATGCATGTGAGGGGCGACACGGCAATGCAGACGTTGAGATGGTAGGGTACTGGGTTCGTTACATATACCATGTCGCACCGCATGCTACATGGAAACTAATCGAGAATAACATCTACTTTACCTGTCCTCGTCTCTGTATCGGCAAGATGAGCATCCCGGAGAAAGAGATAGCCCACGAGTCAAAATCGGGCGACACTTCTCCATCGCGACCGCATTCAGATGTCGAGATTGGTACCGTCGAGGAGCCATCCAACAACGGCGATGAGGCGCTCAAATTTCTCAAGAATGCACACAATGTCGGTGCTCTTACGCCAGAGGATGAGCGAAGACTGGTTCGGAAAATTGATTGGATGATCATGCCATTGATGTGGTGTTGTTACTGCTTGCAGTATCTGGACAAGACACTAGGTATGTCAGATCTTTACATTACTGCATCACTACTCTGTAAGCGAGCATACTGACAGTTCATACCAGTGAATTACGCGGCTGTGATGGGTCTCTACGAGGACGCGAACATCAACACGGCACAATTCTCCAACCTCGCTCTCTTCTTTTACGTATCTTACCTCGCGCTCGAGTTCCCTCATGGCTACGGCATGCAGCGTCTGCCTACTGCAAAGTACCTCGGTGCAGCCGTCATCCTCTGGGGTCTCGTCACGGCACTCACATGTGTGTGCAAGAACTACGGCGCTCTAGTCGCTACACGCGTCCTGTTAGGTTGCTTCGAGTCGGCCGTCGCGCCCAGCTTGATCCTGATAACTTCGATGTGGTATAAGAAGAAAGAACAACCGCTGCGAACCGGTATCTGGTATCTGGGAGTCGGTAAGTCCTGGCTGTACGAAATGCATGTGAGACATATGCTGACTTCGTACCTCTACCCCTGCAGGAACTGGAACAATTATTGGAAGTCTGATCAGTTTCGGGTTTCAGCACTACGAAAGTGACACTTTTACTAGCTGGCAGATCATGTTCTTGGTCGTGGGTCTAGTTACTGTCTCAGTCGGTATAACTGGTATGCTGATCTCTATCTCTGGTTCTCGGAATGGTACTGACTTACGTAGTGGTGTTGCTTCTTCCCGACAACCCGATGTCTTCTCGCCTAACCCCAGCAGAGAAGGTATGGGCAATCGAACGTCTACGCGAGAACCAGACTGGCATCGAGAACACGCATTTCAAATTTCACCAAGTGCTTGACTGCTTCAAAGATCCGCAGACGTGGATGTTATCGATCATCACCATATCATCCAATGTACCCAATGGTGCAGTGTCTTCCTACCAGGCCACGCTCATCAAGTCATTTGGCTTCAGCTCTAAGACTACAGCTTTGCTACAGCTACCTTCGGGCGCCGTCAGCGTCATCTCAATCCTCATCGCTACATATCTCGCCGGCCGTTTCAACCAACGCGCACTGAACGTCGTCTCCTTGCTCATACCTGGAGCACTGGGAGGCTGCCTCATGGCTTTCCTCCCCGGCGAATCCAGAGTGGGAAAGCTCATCGGGAACTATCTTACCAACTGCATTGGCTCCAGCTTACCACTCCTGTACTCCTGGGTGTCTGCGAACATTGCCGGTCACACGAAGAAAGTAACCATGAACGCTATTTTGCTCATGTCTTTCTGTTTGGGAAACATCATCGGACCTTTGACATTCCGCCAGGGCGATGGGCCTGATTTCATACCAGCCAAGGTCACCATCGTAGTGACTTGCGCATTCGCGGCTGCTATGGCGCTCGTGTTGAGAGCCTACTACATGTGGGAGAACAAGAAGAGGGATCGAGAGGATGATGGGACGCATCTTGAGAATGAAGAGTTCCTTGATTTGACGGATCGCGAAAACAGGCGGTTTAGGTATAGGTTGTGATCGGGCAAAAAGATAGGTAGTCCAATGGGAAGGCGCAAGACGTACGGTTCAGCACGAACCTCCTTCTCACACTCAAATCATTGGCCATACTGGATTGAACTTCATCGAATGCAAGGAACTTATAAGTTGATCAACGCTAATTTACATACTACAGCCCATCCCACCCTACGGGGTACCAGCACTGCCTCGCAGCTCACTAATGATGATATCCGCCGCCTTCTCCCCAATGACAAGCGCCGTGTTATTCGTGTTACCACCCACATTCTCCGGAGGGATGCTGAGATCCGCAATCTTCAGGCCCTTGATGCCGTGCACGTTCAAGGAGGAATCAACAACACCATCCTCCTCCCTCGGCGCCATCTTGCACGTGCCAAGCGAATGCCACGTTGTGTTGACGTTCTCACGTAGCCACTGCTCGATGGCAGCGTCGTCTTCCTTGCTGTATACCAGATCCTTGACGTCCTCCAGAGGGCCTTCGACATTCTCTTGTAAGGCAACCGCAGAATCGGCAGCGAACTTTGGATGACCCGCAGCCAATTCGCCACGGTAGAACTGAGTACGTCGCAAGATCTCGCGTTGCTTCTTGTATGCCCAGATTTGCTTCTTGAGATCAATGTCGTCTTTGTCGTTGAAGAAACCCACGTCAAAGTCTAGTGGGTCATCGTGCTTCGGGCCGGTGATGTGCATATGTCCGCGCGAGTAGGGGTACGCAGTGTAGTTACCTGCTGTGACGTACTGGCCCGCGGGTATGCTTGCTGGGTCGCCCAAGAAGCAAGACACCAGACCGCACAGCATCAGCGGACGGTTTGGCGCATCCTTGAAGTCACGGTTCCACGCGTCTTGGAACTCTGGTCCGAGGGCAGTGACTTCTTCTTCAGTAGGACGTAGCTTGGAGGATATGTCGATGCCGTTCCAGCCTAGCATAGGGTCTTTGTTCTTCATCATCTCGGCAACGTCGGCACGTCCGCTGAGGATGCCATCGATGGTTTGGTCGGGCGCTAAGGCAGTCTTGTAGGGGTACAGAAGGAGGTGATGGTCTTGGTAGTCCTTTCCTACACCAGGTAACTCTTCTACGAGAGGTACACCAGCACGTTCAAGGACCTCCTTGGAGCCCAGGCCCGAACGTTCGAGGATGGGTGGTGTACCGCAAGCACCAGATGTGACGACGACCAACTTGCGAGCCTTCACAGCCTTCACAGGATGCATGCTCAGACCAATTTCAGCTTGAAACTCCGGGTTTGGTGTATATTCGACACCAGTGGCACGCTTGTTCTCGTCGAACAGTACGCGCACCACCTTCGATTCGACGAGAACATGAAGGTTGGAATACCGCTCATCCTCAAGCTTCGGGTGGAGGTATGTATGTGCGGTATCTTGGCGTTTGCCCTCTGGTGACACGTAGCGCTGCCATCGCGCAATACCGTTGTTGTCGTCCAGGTTCTGCAAGTCTTCGATCTCAGGGTAGCCGACCTTCTCAGCTGCGCTTATGAAGTCGTCTTCAGCAGCCTTTGCGCGATAACCTCCGTCTGAGACATGGATTGGTCCGCTGTGGCCGTGGTGCTCTTTCGCTCCGGGTCCATGGTAGGTCTCTAGCTTCTTTAGGTGTGGCCACATCTCCTCAGCTGACCAGCCAGGTGTGTTCCAGCTATCGAAGTCCGATCTTTGTGCTCGTGTGTACATCATGAAATTGATTGAACTGCCTCCGCCCAAGGTACCACCGCAAGGTACAATGGGTTCACGATCGGCTAGCTGCTTCGACTTGTTTCCTTTGTAGAAGAGAGCGGTCTTGGTGGCAGGCAGTAGGTTCTGCAGGTAGAAAACGGGGTTGACAACGCTGGCGACATCTTTGTTGTTCGCACCCCCTTCGATTACAAGAATAGAGAGGGAGGGGTCATCTTCAGCAAGTCGACCGGCTATGATACAACCCGCTGTACCGCCTACACAAAGATGTCAGTGGGGGATTCGATGAGGGTGAATATGATAGACATACCTCCAGCGATGATGACATCTACCTCATTAATGTCGTCTGCAAGCTTGTTGTATATACCCATGATGAAATTCTGTTATGATCTGGGCACTCTGAGAAGATGTTCGGATACCAGACGACAAGACAACTGTCAAGAGTCAGATTTGGGAGTCCAGCAATCCGTTTAAGTAAATGTTCAGTATTTCTTTGCCCCTCGCAAATAAAGTTCGGCCACTTACAGCCCATCGCAGACCATTTATCGGATGCCATAGGTTTTTTGTGAACTTGAGTACCGCACTACCCCATCTTCTGCTCTTTTCGGCTTGGCGCCGGTGATACTAGCGGACCCTTTCCGCGCATCTAGATGGCGACCCCAAGGCTTAGGGAACGCTACGAGCTATTAGCTCTCACAACAACTGAACGATCTCCCATGCCGTCCACTCAGAATAGCCTTGTGTTTGCGCTATCAGCCATGGTGGTGGTGAATAGCACATCAGGTGTTCTTTCCCCGCATTCGTGGGCCGTAACCTAACGGCGATCATATGCGCCTGTCCGAGAACCGCGGATAACAATTGTGAAAAGAAGGACGTAGAGAGGTACAATCTAGAACGTGTGTTCCACGCAGTTTTTCAAATTTGAGCTGGTGGTGGCGATGTTAGCAAACACTTCATTCGTAGAGCACAAAAGATAAGAGAGATTGTGAAAGAGTGTAATGAGGTATCTTGGAATTTCCGAAGGCCTACTTTCGGATACTTGAACCCTGCAGCCCACTAACACTGCGCATTCGGAACCATGGATCGATGCACGGTAACCGCAAGAGTCGATGGCATGTGCAGGCTAAGGCACTAGGACGTAGAGTCCCGGCTTGTTGGGGCGAAAGTCCATGAAAAAGGAAAGCTATCCTCGATCACATCCACATATGGCTGCCTTCTTCAGAAATACGAGATTATAACCGAGTTTTCGCCGTACGACGGTGCCAAGCATCGCATCTTAGAAGAGCCGATCAAGACCCATGTCAAGTATGTTTTGGAACTCGACGCGACGCTTGCCAGCGATACTACGCTTTTTGGGCTTGGCGTCCGCCGCGATGTAGTGCTCGATGATGTTGACGGTAGCGCCCAATGTATGGAAGGGTGCAAGATTGTCGAGCATGAGGTTAGCGCTCTCGTCGTCTTGAATAGAGTCGTGCCTTAGGAGCGCAACGTTAGTGATTGTTCGAAAGTAAATCGAACCTTGGGCTGACTTACCAATGAATGACGACCTCTCGCAAGTCTGGCGCCTTCAACAGGATCTCGAATACGAAATTGGAGCGCTGGCGAAGAAGGGCAGGGAAGATGGCCTCGATGGAGTCGGTAGTGTCGGCGCGGATCCAGGCTGAATCCCAAACGAAAGTTATATTAACCTTTCGAATGTTCTCCATAGGAGAAAAGGCAGCGTCGGTGATCTGGCTGAAAGCCTGAACATTGGTGTACGAAGTCAGCAAATGTCACACGTTAATTAACACAGGAAAATGACTTGCCTCTTCGAAGAAAGACGTGTGGGCGAAGCTACCAGTGGCGTCGATACGTAGAACAGCTACATCGTAGAACCAGTTCTTTGCCTCGTTGTTCAGCTGGCGGGAAGCCAGCAGGAGCTGGACCGGCGGAGGACAGTGAGTGATGCGCATGAAGTTCGGTATGTGGCGCCACTTGTTATGGGGTCGGAATACGGGTGCTGGGGGAGGAGGAGGCTGAGCCGCAACGACTGTAGCAGCAGCGTTGCCGCCGTCATCAGTCAGATCTTCGTCGCCCTCGCTATCGCCTTCGGCCTCTTCGTCATTGTGTAGCTGGGCACCCTCGGTCTCTTCGCCGTTGTCGCCCTCATCCTCGCTGTCACCCTCACCGGCATGTCCTTGTCCAGGTTCTTCCGCTGCCATCCCGTCTTCGGAGTGGTGGTCGGGGTCAACTTGAGCCGTAGCTTGGGCTGGAACGTGGACGCTAGCAGTTGCCGACTGGGTATCGTGCGCGCCGGCGACAGCTCCTTCTACCTCATCGTCCTCATCTTCGCCGTCTAAGTCAGACTCAGACTCATCTTCAGCTTCATCCTCATCATTGCCATCTTCCTGCTCTGCTCCTTCGTCCTCATTTCCATCTTCGTCGTCGTCTTCGTCCTCGTTTTCGCTGTCCTCCGCGGCATCTTCGTTCTCTTCTTGATCATCCTCCTCACTGTTGTGATCGCTTACAGCACTCTCGTCATCGTAATCATCGTAGTCGTTGGCGTATACGACGCGCGGGGTGGGACCGTTGGGGTTGTCAATGGCGTCTTGGGCAACGAGTTCCTTGACCTCTTTCTTCTCGAACCAGTAGCGGAGCAGCTTCTTAGGCTTGACGTCGCGCGCGGCCACATGCTCGAAAATGGAGTGTCGCACCTCGAGCGGGAGGTCCATGAAGGCGGGTGCAGCCTTGTCGTTGGTCATGGCGGGCAGTTGGTCGCGCGTGAGTTTTGTAGAATGAGCTGCGCAGGGAGATGCAAGGTAGAGAGGCTTGCGAGCGGGATTGGCAGCAAACTAGAGAGAGAATACGGGCGAGATCAGGGTTCAAGTAAAGTTGGTGCCGCAGTTGCCTGCAGTGGGCTGCGCGGGGCTTGCAGGCGTTTGTGTAGCCAGAAACGCTTCAACGTGGAGCAGGACCAGAAGTGAAGGAGCGGACGAGAGCCACTGAGGGGCACGCCCAAGCGTCGAGAGGTCCATCATGACCAACAGGGCGCTCAGGTCTGGATGCGTCGTTTCGCAGTCGCTGGTAGCTATGGAGTCGCAGTTGACCCACCGTCGCGCCTTCCCCACGGAGCTTGACGCGCTACGTCAGCCCCTTGCCTGATTGGCTGCAGCCATCTCGCGACTCCCGGCCAGCTTCCACTCCATTAGACTCAATGAACGTCATCCTTTCCATCGCGTGCCACAAGACTTCAGCATTCCCAAAACCTTTACATGGCAGCGCAAGCCCACAGCAACCAGGCAGCATGACTCTAATACATGGACACACTCATACGCTCGTAGTGCATCGATTCACCCCTTCCAAGGCTGTGTCATGCTATATGCAGTTCCCAGGCTGCCCATACGCTCTTTCCGAGCTGCTGACACCACGCTCATCACGAAGGAGCACGTCCGCCGACGCCTACTACCCGACATGAACAAAACATAGGCTGTAGAGGATGCAGCCACACTCGAAGGACAATACTTCTCCTTCAGCACTTGTATTAGCCGTTCCAACTATTGTTGCAGCATGCCCATCCCGCGGACGATGTTTGGGTACCTGGCCTATCGATGCATGTAGTAGAGGCCGCAAGATCAAGGCACTGGCCGCTTCTCCACCGAGGAGACTCGAGACTTCTCTGACTACCACGTGTAGGAGTCGGCCTTGCTGTCTTTGGAGTAGGATCGTCGTCAGGTTCAGCATGTTCCACCTTCCTCCACTTACAACAACAGTAAACATCAACACATCATGGAGCAGCAGCACCTCACTGCTGCTGCCCGCCTACAAGCTACGTGCATGCCCATTCTAGAGTATATAATCCCTTCCTCGGGTCTCCATCCTCCATTTCTCTCTCACATCGCAACTCAGCCCAGCAACTCTACCAGCAACTCTTCTACCCAGCTCATCCATCCATCATCCATACCTGAGCCCACCCCATCAACGCATTCCGCAGGCAGAGCTTGGTTACTCCAACCACGACCTACGCCATGCGTCTCACCACCAGTGTCATCGCTGGCTTCATCGCCTTCAGTGCCGCTACGCCTGCCGGCCTGGCAGTCAAGCCAAGTTCCATTGAGGACCCTGTCGATGCTGTCCCAGCCCAACACACTCCCGTCGTGGACGGAAACTGGCACATTGGCTGCGACAAGAACAACTACTGCTCCTACTACCAGGGAGGCGACGTGGCTGTTGGCAACACCAACTCAGTGTCTCCTCGTACCATTGCTCTGTCGGAAGCCTCGTGCAAGCAGTGCTCAACTGAGGACCCTTGCGACGTAAGTCTTCCTTATGTCCTCTTCTTTCGGAATAGGATGATCTTTGCTGACGTTCTGTCTGGTAGTATTGCACGTCTTACAGTTTCGATTGTCGGGACTGTGACCATTACCAATGTTACGACGCATTTTTGAAATCCCGTGGCTGCTTCGACATCCAACCCGAGCTTGCCGACGTCATCCGCAATCACACAGTGACAGCCACCATCAGCACTTCTGTCGTCACTGTGACCGCCATGCCTACTTCTGAGGCGTCGATTTCCGACATCACCACTACCGTCACGCTTGCTCGTACTGCCGGACCCCCGACGCAAACTGGACTGGCCCCTCGCGATGAGCTAGTCTCCAACGATGGCGATGATCAGTCACCTACTCGTCGCACTGCCTTCAAGCAGTCGGAATGCTTCCCTTGCAATGACCAAACTTGCCCAGTACGTTAATTCGTCCCAGGTTTCTTGCCTGTACTCAGCTTGCTAACTTATCTTTTCTCAGGAATGCCACGCCGACTGCGCAGAGTGCGACAAGTACCTTTGCAACAACTTAGCCACTCACATGACGGTGTGCATGAGCGTCCGTTCCAAATGGCAGCCCCCGGGCTTCAACGTCTCTGCCTCCGGACCCAGCGAGACCACAACTACCACCGAGACAGTGGTCATTTCGACCGTCGTTGGCCCCACGTCCTCGCCAGTCGTCACCGTCACCGTGTCCGCCCCTCTTACCAGTACCACTACTGTTGTCGTAGCTCCTCAGAGCTCCCCATGCACTACGACCACTACTTCGATACCTGTAGTAACCAGTACTGTGACAGTGGTTACTCAGCGTCCACAGACCAAAACCGTGACAGTTATTTCTCAGCGTCCACAGACAAGCACTGTGACAGTTGTTGCTCAGCGTCCACAGATCACCACTGTCGTCGTGACAGCTCCTCGGGTTCAAACCACCACTGTCGTCATGACAGCTCCTCGGGTTCAGACTACCACTGTCGTCGTGGCAGCCCCTCAGATTCAGATTAATACCGTCACTGTGGAGAAGCCGGCTTCCACTGTAATCTACCAGCAACCAGGCACCACATCCATCGTTACTGTACAGAACCCAGCTTCTACTGTCGTCTACCAGCAACCAGGCACAACTTCCACTGTCACCTATCACTACCAGGATCCAGCGTCCACCATCATGCTCCAGCCACCAACTGTTACTGCTTCGCGCTCACCACACGTGCTCGAGATTCCCGTCACTGTGATCACGACCGCGACCCACACCGTAGCCAGATCAGTTCGTGCCAACCAAACCCCTGCACCTATGTCTCCCCGCGATAGCATTATCGCCAAGCCAATGTGCGACTCTTGCGACGGTAACGCGGAGTGCGATGTAAGTTGAAGCACCAGTCCGTCGCGTGCTCATAGAACTTCTGACTGACTTCCGCTACAAACAGGGGTGCGATTTCGCTTGCGACGAAGACCAAGGCTGTGAGCACTTCCTGTGCAAAGACCCTCTCAGCGAAGCGGAGGTCTGCATAAGCTTCCTAGAGGACGCCGAGGCATCCAAAGCATACGACACGTCCATGGCTTCCGGCGATTTCCTTGGCTCCGCCGCGATGCTTCTGGTGCTCGCCGGCGATGACGCCCCTACGTCCAATACAACGACCACCCATTTGCAGCCGGCGATCTCCAACGGAACCCGGCCAGACTTCTCCTTTGCCGATGAGGATTGCTATCTGTGCGAGTCCGGTGATGAGTCTTGCAACGTAAGTCACTGCCTTGCCCACCCACCCCCTGCAATGTTGCATCATCTTCATTGGTATAGTTCGTCGACTAACTCCTCCCAGATGTGCGACTGGCAGTTCACCTGCGGCATCAAGAAGAAGTGCTTCCACAACGGCGCGCGCGAGGTTGTCGAGTTGTGCTTCGAGAAAGGCGAGAAGTGCCGTCCTTGAATCGATTCCGCCGGGCATTTCTCTTCGTGTCGACCGAAGCGAGCCATCCTGCGATGTCACCAACCGATGAGGTAGCCGGATTGTCGCTTTTGGCTCTGCTGTCTTTTTGCACGCTTCGTTGATCGCGTCGCTCCGTTTCACGCTAGTGTGAGCTTGCGCTGGCTTCTTTCCCCTGTTGTTTATCTTCCCCTTTGTTGCTCTGCGTTAGTAGTTTGTAGCTTCTTCTGAATACATTACATCCTCTTATTTTCTGAGATACTTGCTTCCTTGTTGATGTATGCTCACCGATCGCATGTTCTGACTACTTGCTTTGCAACTTGCCGATGGAGTCCGCGATGGTCAGTCGTTCTCAAAGAGGCCGCTCACTCAACTCATGATTGCTTCAGTGACACTGTCCTGCATTGGAAGCGTGCATGCAATTGACCGATACACTTACAATCGGCACTGGGTGACATAAGACCTGGCAGAATGCCTGTCATGAAAGCTCCCAGGACGCATACAAACCGGACATACGACACAAGTGTACATCCTTTGTTCTCATTTTATGTAATGCATGCCCATTTCCTAAGTCGAAACTTCATCTAGTCAAGGGGATTGCAGAGCCATCTCACTCAACCCCAGACCAAGTCAATTCTCTCGCCCTTGACTTTCGAATTGAACCACTCGTAGATCTCGACATCATTCTGTACGACACTTGCGCCATCAAGAACCCCACTTCTACCTAGCCTCTCCGTCGCGAATTGTAACTCCATGGTTGCCAAGTTCCTAGCGATGCACGCTCTGCTCCCCGCTCCAAATGCGAACCAGTACTTCGACATAGCTTCTGTTGGGCTCAGCCATCTTTCAGGCCGGAAGCTTCTTGGCGAGGGAAAGATGTCCGGGTTGAAGTGCAGCTCATATGCTGAGCAACCGACAATGGAACCAGCTGGGAAGTAGGTGTTCTTGAACGTCCAACCTCCTGCAGGGACGGTATGAGGTAAGCGCGTAGGATTTGCCATACTGATTCGGAGGCCTTCTTTGACAATAGCGTTGAGATAGGGTAGCGCTTGAGCGTCCTGTCCATCCAGGCCAAGGGCAATGTTGTTCTTGATCTCTTCCTTTAGTCTTTCGTACATATCTGGGTACAACGCTAGATTGCGCATGATCGTTGCCAAGTTCATCCCCGTAGAGTCTGTTCCAGCGAAGATGAGGTCTTTGCACTGTGCCTTGACTTCGGAGTCGCTGAGCCCCGCAGCGAGTAGACGCCCGGGGTATGTTGTTGACTTCTCGGAGGTATTCGCTACCAGTGTGCCGATGAACTTATCAACAAGCATCATGCTATCATCAGTCTCTGGATCGGGCAACCATTTGGCAACGGCCCATTCCAGCCACGTGAAAGCGAGATTCGGGAGGTAGAAGAAGCGACCGACAGCGACAAAGGCGTCCACGAACGCGCTCACGCTGAGTACTGGACCACGTTCGCTGACCCCATCGTAATTCTCCCGGAACAGGTGTGTAGAAACTGCGTCCACAGCCAGGCTTCGCGTCAAGTTGAGCACGTTGACAGGCCGCTTTGTCATGGCTTCGTCCCTCAATCGCTCCACCATACGGTCGACACATCCCCAAATGGCTCTCTCATTTTCCCTCAATGCTTTTGTTGAGAACAGCGGGACCACAGCTTTCGCTCTTGGGCTCCTGTAGTCCGTATCGATAGTCGAGAAGATAGTCTTGTGGCCATCAATGTCGAAATTTGCATAGCACGCCGCTTTCGGAAAGCCTCCTTTCGATACGTAGATTGCGGGTATAGCATCCGCGTCGCTTATATCGATTTCATTCGGTGAGACTCGGACATACGGGCCGTATTGTTCGTGGAGTTTGTGGATAGTGCTTGCTTCGTCTCCGATGTAGGCGTGGCAGTGAAGGAAAATGCTGGTCAGCTTAGGTAAGATGGGTCCAGGGATGTGGGATAGAGGATGGAAGTAGATGCGATAGACCGAGCGAATCAATACAAGCAGAAAAGGTGTGAAGAACAAGGTTGTTATGGGATGAGCCGCTATCGCGCTGACAACGAGGCTTTGAAGCGCCATCGGGGTAAAAGACAGCTGGACAGGCTACATTGACGCTGTTGCAGATGTCGTGTGTTTTATATGGCTCGTGGTTGGTTGAGTCACCACAGCGTTAGTGGGGTGCTATCAACGGCGATCATGGAGATAAGGCGTCATCCACTCCCACCTTGAACTCTCTCCTTGAGACTGCAGAAACTAGGACGAATTACACATTATTGCTCTATATAAATACATGTAGTCTAATTTCACCTCATCATTACTCATTTTCGTTCCCTTTGATGCTGCCGGCGTGATCAACCCGCGAAACCCGCTGACGGCGAGTACATCAAACAATGTCCCCTCTTCTTCTAACTAGCCACCTAACTCAAATCACTGGCCCTACCATCCTTGGTCGAAGGCGTCAACTCCACGTCCGCTTTATCATCAGCCCTCGCACCCTTCTTCGACCTCCTCCACTGATGCACAGCAATGCAACTCAGCAGGGCCATTCCCGCATGTAAAAGGCCCAGTAACCCCTGGAATCCCACCTCAGCGTATCCAAGGCTATCCCAATACGACTTGTTGTAGGTGTTACTCTCATCATTGTAGATGATGAGCGTGTGTAAAAAGCAGATGGCCCCATAAAGACACACCATGACCAAAGATACAGTGAGAGTAAGGATGGGATGAAACAAATTTGGTGCGGAGGCTGAAGAGGGTATAGCCACGAGGCTGAAGAGGGTGTAAATGGTATCTGGGATCATTGCGAATCCTGTGCGGAAGAACCAATCATTGCTATGTACACAGTTAGTATGCGCTTTATTTGACCGGTCTGACTTTTGGAATCTGGGAAGACTATGTGCTGCGACTTACGCATAGCTTTGCCAACGGGGGTCGTTGTCGCGATCGTTAAATCCGTACTTGAAAGAAGCATTGTGGGAAATGATGATGATGATAAAGACAAAAAGAATAAATGCCTTTACGAGAAAGACACGGTGATGGAAGCGTGGAGGTCCTTGCCAAAGTGGACTTTTAGGACGAGTGAAAGATGCTAGGATGCCCATGTTTGGAGGTACTTTAGTAACGCGTAGATGAAGCTGTGGAAGAATCTCGGGAGTGCAATATATCAATACTAATAAAATGAGATGCGAGATTGAGTGGATGTGTTCTCACTATAAGTACCTCTACTTAGCAAGGCGCAAAAGAGAAAGTTGATCAACACACAGGTCGCCTTATCGTGGCGCGTACCTTCAACGCAGGTCCCGTATCTGTGCACTTGACGTCTCAGCCTGATGATCACCCCGCAATTCCTCGACTATGTCGAAAATCGACCTAAGGGCAAAATAGCTGGGTTTTGATGGTTGGTGTCGAACACAGCCTACCATGCCAAGTTCGGGCTGTGTTGCCGGTCAAGCATAGGTATCGTAAGCGAGGCGCGCCACTAGAGAAAGATGTGTGAAACTAGCTCGTGTACGCAGTACAAAAGAATGACGCAATCATCGAAACTACTTTCGAAAGGTGAAACTGAAACGGGGGGTTATTCGTGGTATTGAATGCTCGACTGGAGCAGCAGACTACGGGCCGGTATGCGGCATTTCATGCAACACTCTGGCCTGAAAAACTCCATACACGCCCGCTCCAACAACACGGCATGGTGGTGACCGATCCAGTGATGATGTGCAACGTTGACGGCATCCAGCTTGTCTCAGATATGAGAAGTCTAGTTTTCAAGATGAACACCTAAACATGCGTTAGCCCGGAGATCAAACTCGCAATTGCACAAATGGCTTACTATCAACATTGTTGTTGTAGATCATGTTGGTGTTGTTGTTCTTGAGGTAGCAGTTCTGATCAAACCAAGTAACGGCAACGCATCCTGTTGTAACAGAACACACGTCCACACACTTGGTCATGGACTCGGTTGACTTGTAGGCAATGTCGCCACCATAGTAGTCCCAGTTGCACTGTGCAATGAACGGCTTCTGGTTCGCAGTGGTGTACCTGCACTTGTCATCGGTAGGGCAGTCGATGACGTCGGTGCATGTCGAGGAGCCAGGCGCGGGCTCTGCGATGGTCGGGCCCTTGAGCTGATTGCCGGTGGACACGTTGGTTCTGCAGGATGAGTTGGAAAGTTGTTGGAAATAGATGAACGCCTTAGAGACAAACTTACGCTGGCCGGGCAGTACCCTTGGGGTTGCCCAGAAGGTAGCAGAAACTTCCCTTCATGTTGAATGCGACGCAATCCTTGTGTCGAGAGCAAGCATCTGCGCAGTCGACGAATACATCGGCCTTCAAAGGTGTGAATAGTATTCTAGTCTTCCTCGGGATTCTAACGTACCTGGGCGGAGTCGATGATGGGGCCGTTGTAGTCGGTCGCACAGGTGAGCTGGAATACAGCACCGTTGGTGGACGTAGATACGCAACCGTTCCAGCGAGGGCATGTAGGTATAGCGGGGCAGTTTCGCATCTGGCGCGGAACCAGTGCAGAAAGTGCAGCCGTCGAAGCGATGAGTGTATAGTGCTGTGGCATGGTCAGTATAGCTCATGGAATTACGCATGTAGCCCCGAAATCGCTGCTTGGATACAGATCCTGTATTGCGGCTTGTCCAGGAGTGTTGAAACTCTGATTTGAACGGAAGATATGCGGCATGTCTACAGAACTGGACAATTGTGACTTACCATCTTGAATGGTGGTGAGGGTTGGAAGGAATGAATGAGTGAGTATGAGCCGGAAGAGAAAAGGGTGGGATGAAGAGATATGGGCTACGGAGAAGCCTCAGACCGTATCTGTCTTGCGGTTGAAGCTAATAGTGATGCGGGCTTCGTGACGAAGAGTGTGGGGTATTTAGAACTGATACCATGGTCCGGTGTCGCCTACAGCAAATGACAGGTCTTCGGATGTGAACGATAACAACGACCAGACCCTGACATGTTCTTGTGATCGTAAAAGCTTATATTCTCCAATCAACGAACCTCGTGGGCCTCCACCACACCCCAGGCACATGAGCCTAGACGCGATGTATCCTTATAATTGCAACCGTGCAGCCAGCTGCACTCATATCTTCTCCACCGGCTCTCCAGGAATCCACGTGCCGTTGCCAGATAATGTACCTGGCCTGGTATAATCCAAAGTTCTCCCATCTCTTACATAAGCCCACCGGAAGTACTCGTTGATTCCACTATCAAGTGGCCTGCGCCACTCAAAAGAAGCTCCACCTAGCCCATCATCGTAGAACGCGCGGTCCCGCTCAACATCATTTACTAAGACACTTATGCCGTCAATTCCGACCGGGTGTGCTTCATACCGAAATGTCGCGACCAGCGCCTCGGTACCAAAATTGACGGTGGCGTCCGCTATCTTGGGAACCACGGAGTTGAACTTCGCATCAGCGCGAAGTGCAGCAGAAGTCTGCAAGACAGAGTCAAAGTCCCAGCGCGCTATTCCATTGACGAAAAGACCCAACAGAATGCCTTGGTACAGTAAAGACGGTCGTGTTTGCAAACTCGTGCCCGGCAGCAACAATATCGCGAGGATGTAGTGGTGGATCCTTAGATTTACGCCTGGGATAGTCAAGCAGACAATGATTCCAAGAATGAAAAGTCCATACAAGCCGAGGTAGCGGAGCAGGCGGCCTTCGAGCCAGAAGAAATATACTTGCCCTACAATGATGACCACCAGCACCAGAACGATGATTGCCAAGGCTAGCTTTGCCCCGGGTTGTTGTTCCAGATCGTGCGAGGTAAGTCGAGATATCGGTATCCAATCAAAAGTATAATTTGAAAGTGCGCCAATCCAGAAACTGGAAAGCCAGAAAAGTGCTTTCTCAAAATGAGCAGTCATCCCAAGTAATGACCTCTTCACGGTAGTGGAGTATATGACAACGGCCACGAACATTGCCGGTAAAAGTCGCTTCGCGAACATGGACAGATGATCCGGAAGAACAGTAGTGTTTCGGGAAGACGCTGACGGTGGGTCGGAAACAAAGCTCACGTGGGCAAAAATAAGGCTGAAGATCGCAAAGAAGATCTTGGGTGACGTGGTGGAGATAGCAAGCGCAGCAGTGACGAGGAGTGAAACAGGAAGCAAGGCTGACCGAGGGTCGGAAGCGGAGTGGAAGCTATCGTCATAGCCTACGGAAAAGGCAAGCGGGAAGTACGAATCGAAAGGCAAGGATTCGATGCCGTGTCGCTTAGTACTGGCGAAACTGTCATGCTCACCAACGAGAGTAATCCGGCCAGAGCCTACAAGAATGAAGATAACATGTCAGTATATGTCTTACACACAGTTCGTACGGGCAGTTCCTTACCACCTTTCCGGCCATCCACAATGCCAGCATGGATCGCGGATCCGCAGATGAAACTGTCTCCACGGTAAAATCCCGTACCGATGACAAGCGGTCGGTAGTTTACTTCGAGAGGTCCAACAATGTGCGGATTCAAGATCTGCACGTCGCCGCACTTCGCTGGACACCGGAAGGCGAATGAATGGTTGCTGAAAGGGCGGCAATCGATCCCATCGATTCCGCATTCGTTCTTTCGTTTCCAGAGCGTGTCTACGCAATCGAGGTTGATCACGCTATTGCCATCCCCATCGCGAAGCGGTAGTTGTGCAGTGAGAAACCACACAAATATAACAAGCCATAGCAGTAGCACAGCAAAGAGCCAGATGGGTTTATTGAACCCGTGTGCTTCCGTCCATTGGGCCGGATACGCTTGGATGGCTGGGAAGACTGGCTGAATGGACTGGATGCGAGGTGGCTCCGGACCGCGCAAGAAGCGAAGGAAAGTACGTCGGCCACTACGCGCAGGCAACGCGTTGTCTTCGAAGTCCATCTCTTCTCTTGTCAACAGATGGGCCTCTTCGTCCCTGTCAGCGGCTCCAGCAAGAGGGTGGCTCGCGTCATCTTCAACGTCATTGTCGTTCGGACCGCTTTGTAACGAGATGCGCATGGTCAGCTGCAGCAAGTTGAACATGCATGAGAAATGTAGTCATTGACAATAGACATTGTGGTCTGAGATGAAACATGTTGAATGATCAACAG